TGCAGCTCCTGAAAGCTAGTAGTTATATAATGATTCCATGCCACTCACTCACTTGGTACTTTTTCCCTGTCATTTTTCAATTATTTCCGTCATTCTCCCCAAAAATTAAATGACGGCTTTAATCGGCTTGATTTTTGGTACTAAAAATCATTTTTTATGTTTATCCCTGTCATTATTCAGTTAATTACTGTCTTACGTCATTGACTTTTTTCTGATTATTTTCTGTCATTGATTTTTTTTACTGATCTTTTAAGTCATTACTTAACTAAACACTGTGTTCGACCCTTCTTCTGGTTAAAGCTGTTAAAAAAAAGTGATTCAGAAAAATAAAATTGAATTAAAGAAATTAATATAATAAGATTATAAAGGAAATGGCTGAAAAATCGCTTATAACTGATAAAGATTACAAGAGTTTATCTTTGGCTGAATAAAAAAAATATACAACCAGAAAAAACAAATAATAAGGGAAAATTATAAAGAATTAACTGAAAAAGAAAAAATAATTCGTGATATTAGAAAAGTAGATAAACTTAATGAAAAAATAAAAAAAGGTGTTAATATCAAAAAAGAATGGAAAAAGAAATCAAAACCCAAAAAGACAAAATCATTTGATGAGTATTTTCAAGAATGTATTAAAAACAAAAAAATACCAGAAGATACTCCTCCTTATTTTCGTAAGGCTCTTGAGAGAGCTATTAAGGAGCATGAACAAGGAATTGTAAAAGAAAAATCAGCTTTGGAAGAATTTGCTAAAAAACATATAATAAAGGGAGAACCTGGTATTACTCCTTTGCAGTTTTTTGGAAATAAAATAACTATTCTTAAAGATTTTCTTAGAAATCATCGAAATATCAAAGTAAAGTTTGTTTTGGTTTGTATGATGGAAAAAGTGGAAGGCGGCCAAAAACTAAGAGTTGAAGTTCAGGATAAAGCATATTTTCATTCAGATACTTTTATTAATCTCAAATCAACCGATGTAAAAGATTTACTTAAAAAAATTATCAGTAACATCACAGAAAAGATTAATATTTATCAACTAAATGGTAGTGGGTGGTATTTTAAAGAAGTTATTGTACTTGAAATACATACTGTTAAATTTAACCCTTTAAAAGGTTCTTCTTATATTCCTCTTCCAGATTGGATTATGAGAAAAAAAGCAATTGTTAGTCTTCGAAATAAAGATTCTAAATGTTTTTTGTGGTCTATACTTCATTATCTTCATCCAAGAGAAAAGAATGATTGTCATTTGAAAGATTTAGAACAATATGAGCATGAGCTTAAAATTCCAAAGGGATTTACTTTTCCAGTTAAAATCAGAGAAATTACCAAATTTGAAACTATTAATCCAGATTTACCAGGTATAAATGTATTTTCATTTACTCTCGACAATAAGTTTTATCCCCTCCGGATGGCGTTACGTGATCCTCAAAAATCAATAGATTTATTTCTTTATGAAGAGAATGGAAAATATCATTATTCTCTGATTAAAAACTTTTCTCGTCTTTTTCGGTCACAAATCACAAGTAGAACAAATGAGCCAATTCATATTTGTAAGAGATGTTTTACTGGTTTTACAAAAGAAGAATTATTACAAAAACATATCTTGTATTGTACGAATAACGAGTCAGTTTCTGTGAAAATGCCAAAATCAGGATCGATTTTACATTTCAAAAATTATCACAAACAAATACCTATTCCTTTTGTAGCTTATGCGGATTTTGAGTGCTTTACTAAACCAATGAATACTTGTTGTCCTAATCCAGAAGATTCTTATAATTATAATTACCAAAAACACGAACCATCAGGATTTTGTATTTTTATTAAAGGAGTGGTTGATAAAAGAATAAAACCAATCACATATACTAAAAAAGAAGAAGATGAAGATATAGCAAAAATATTTGTAGAAAAACTCTCAGAAGCAACTAGAGGTATTTATAATGATTTTTATCGCAGACGAAAACCTCTTAAACTAACCCAAGACGAACAAAAATCATTTGATAAAGCGAAATTTTGTCATATTTGTAATAAAGAATTATTGAAAGATAAAGTTAGAGATCATTGTCACTTTACTGGTCAGTACCGTGGAGCAGCGCATAACAAATGTAAATTTATGTGTAAAAAACCAAGAATACTACCAGTTATATTTCACAATCTTCAAGGATATGATGCTCATTTATTTATAAAACACCTCGCTCGTTTAGAAGGAAATTTAAACTGTATTCCATCTACAGAAGAAAAATATATTTCATTTTCTAAAAGTATTAAAGTTGGTGAGTATGAAGATTATACTGGATTAACTTTACCAATAAATTTCGAAATACGATTTTTAGATTCGTTTAACTTTCTTCAAACATCACTTGCTAATCTCGTTTCAAATTTACAACCCGATGATTTTCATAATACAAAACGAGAATTTAAGAAGAATGTAGATCTACTTACTCGGAAGGGAGTTTATCCTTATGATTATGTTTCATCGCTTGAAAAACTGTCCGAAACACAATTACCTCCAAAAGAAGAATTTTATTCGAAACTAAATGACGAAGACATAATTGAAGATGATTACCAACACGCAATAAACGTGTGGAATACTTTTAAATGTAAATCATTAAGAGATTATCACGATCTTTACCTAAAGTCTGATGTCCTGCTTTTGGCGGATGTATTTGAAAACTTTAGAAAAACTTGTCTAAAACATTACAACTTAGATCCAGCTCATTATTACACATCTCCAGGTTTAGCTTGGGATGCTTGTCTCAAAGAAACAGGGCAGGAATTACAGTTACTACATGATTATGATATGTTAATGATGATTGAAAAAGGTATTCGCGGTGGAATAACTCACATATCTAAAAGATACGCAGAGGCGAATAACAAATACATGAAAAATTATAATCCCAATGAAAAGTCCACATTTATTCAATACCTTGATGCGAATAATCTTTATGGTTGGGCAATGTCACAAAATCTTCCAACAGATGGATTTAAATGGATGAGAAACCTAACAAAAGATAAACTTATGGAAATCATTGAAAAAACAAATCATAGTATGTTAAATCGTGGAAGAAAAGGCTACATTTTTGAAGTTGATTTGGAATATCCTTCAAAATTATGGGAAACACATAATGACTATCCTCTTGCACCTGAAAAGATGAATGTTAATGGAGTTGAAAAACTAATTAGTCATTTTAAACCAAGAAAAAATTATGTTGTTCATTATCGAAATCTTAGACAATATCTTGAAATGGGAATGAGGATAACTGCTGTTCATAGGGGAATATCTTTTAACCAAAGTCCTTGGATGGAACCATATATACGAAAGAACACAGAACTTAGAAAGACAGCAGCTAACAGTTTTGAGAAAGACTTTTTCAAACTTATGAATAATTCAGTGTTTGGAAAAACAATAGAAAATATACGAAAAAGACAAAATATAGTACTTATTGACGATCGAAAGAAAGCTGCTAAACTAATAAGAAGACCAAACTTTGAAAGGGCTACGATATTTGATAAAATCTTATAGCTGTTCATATGAAAAAAACCGAGATTTATTTTAACAAACCAGTATATGTTGGACAAGCAATTCTTGATTTGTCAAAAACATTGATGTTTGATTTTCATTATAATTATATAAGAAAGAAATATGCTGCGACGAAGGAGCACAAAAATAAAGCACAGTTATTGTTCACAGATACAGACTCGCTAATGTACCATATTTACACAGATGATTTTTACAAAGATATATCTCGTGATATAAAGAAGAAGTTTGACACTTCTGATTATCCTCCCAATCATGAATCTGGGATATTGACAGGAGTTAACAAAAAAGTAATAGGGATGTTTAAAGATGAAGTAGCAGGAAAACAAATAACTTGTTTTGTTGGATTACGACCAAAACTTAGAATAGAAGAGGATAAAGAGGTAAGAAAGTGTAAAGGAATTAAGAAAAACGTCGTGAAAAAGAAATTAGATTTTGATGACTATGTTCAATGTTTATTTTCAGGAAGAAAAGAATTGAGAAAAATGAATATAATAAGAAGCGAAAATCATGATATATATTCAAAAGAAGTTAATAAAGTAGCTCTAAGTAATGAAGATGATAAAAGAAAGGTTTTTTTGGGTAAGGTAAAAACAAAAGCTTTAAGATAAGTGAATTTAATAAAAATTAATAATAAATGTCATATACAGAAGACCAAATAAAAAAATATTTAGAATTATTACATAATTATACTAAAAATTTCACAGAGGAAGTGAATTTGAAAGCTAAATGTTGTGCTTGTGAAAACAGTACATCTTTAACCATTGATTGGGGTTGTAAAATTTGTGATGAATGTGGGGTAGCAAACGGACATGTATTAGGCTTTTATGATAATAAAGATCGCGAAAGATTATTTTATCGAAAAAAGAGTGTATATCAACGTAAGTATTACTATGAAAAAAAGGTTAATAAAATTTCTAAAAGAATAAACCTAACAAATGAACAAAAAAACGAACTTTATAGTAAGTTAATGGAAATAGACAATCACGTCATGGAAATACTAAACAAAGAATACAACAGAAAGAGAATGATAAGTATCGAATATTTAATCAAAAAACTTTTGGATGAGATGGGGGGTGAATCGAGCAAAGCGAGCAAACTAATATATCTTAGGATTTCACCACACACTTTAAATAATTATGAAAATTGGTGGGATAGTTATAAATCACTCAAAACCGGATAGATTTTAATATCAAAATGATATTAAAATCACAACTTACTTTTGTTTACTTAGTCCGAACTTTTTTTCATACCTACTAACAAATCTATCTGCTATTGGTGTTTGGTCAATTATCATTTCATCTATCAGCTTCATGCGATCAACAAAATCTTGTTTATTCCACTCGTCTCCCCGAAGAGCTGACCGCAGTTCAACAAGTACTTTTTCATAAGTAGTGAAAGCAATTCTTGTCATCTCAATTTTTCTCTTATAATTATTTTTCTTTCCAATTCCCGCCACTATTAATCCAGCTCCATTTACTACTCCAAGAACAACAGGGTTTAGGGTTATTCCACCAGAAACAGTTCCAATTGCAACCAAACTTATCCCAGCGATTGTAAAAACATCATCAAGAAATTTATAACTCTTATACGATTTCTTAAAACACCAGTATTTCTTGTGGTAGTGTTTATAAAAGTCTTTGAGGGTATTAACCTCTGATTCTGACAGAGATTTATCAATGTGATTAAATTCAAAGATATCCTTCATTTTATTCTTTTGTGTATATTATTACCACTCCCTTGGTCAGTGTATCTAAAGTACATAACTTCCATTTAACTTTTCTTGAAGCAATACTTTATGATATTGCTCAGAATCAGTGTTGTAAAAGTTTGGAGAAAACATTATTTTACTTAACACTCCATCTTGAGTTGTAAACACAAACTCTTGTTCGACGGTGTATCTAACGGCTTGTAAACTTAATATTGCGCTGTAGTTACTTATTTTAACTTTTGTAATATTTTGGCTAAAATCTTCTGTCAACCATATAACAATTTTTTTTCCATTAAAATCACTTGGCAAGGTAAATTGTCTTCTTACATTATTAACAACTAAATTTGCTGTGTTACCTGAAGTAGTATAGTAAAAATTTAATAAAGTAGCTGCGCTACTTATATCTTTTTTCTTTATACTAAAATTTCTATTTCTCCAATGATAAAATATTAAACATAAAGTATATTTTGTAATACCAATAGTAGGAGAAAAACTAATATTATAACCACTAACATTTAGTCCTTCTTTTTTTATATCATCTATGGTTCTTAAAGGTATACCCATATCTCTTAAAGTATTACCACTACTTGAAGATAAATAGTTAAAAACAATACCTGATGAGGTTCTACTTAATTTGTAATTAGTGGCATTAGTAAAATCATAAACTTCTTCGAAATAATTTCTGTATAAATCATTTATAGTGTGAGGTTTTATTTCCTTTACCATTCCAACTGTTGCTGCGCTATTGTTATTATTTCTATCAAGATTAACATTTAATATTTTTTTATTATTTGCATTAATATCAACATTGTACAAAACTTCTGTTGGTTTGATATCAAATGCGGTGTGATAATCATAAACTTTATCTGGATCGATATTGCTAAATGTTCCCACAATTCCATAAGTAATTATATAAACTTTTGAAAACTGTCTCGGATAAACAGCCAAGTCAGTTCCATCTTGTGGTATATTAACCAAAATGTGAAGAAAGAACTTATTACCAGTTGACAACTTCCGGAAATTAACTATTATTCTGTGATAATACATAAATTGTGGTTGCCCATTTGATTGTGTGTACCTATGAGATAGTTTCCTTATACTAACATTTCCAATTGATAATCCTGTTGAAGTTCCTTTGTTTACACTTATTTGAGACTTATGCCACAGTTGATAATCAGTGTTGAGTATTTCCAAACACAGTGTGTATTCGGTATTAGCAGTTAACCTGTAAAAGTTGATTCCCATTTTGTACTTATATCTCCCTTGGGAATTTTTGTTTATACCCATAAAAACAACTTTGTGGTTATAATCATGAAAGTTTCCTTGATTTGGTGCTAAATCTCCTATTTTTTTTATAACAAAACTAGTTCTATCATCTATTTCATCCGTCCATTGAGCCCCACTTGACATGAGAGAATCAAACTGGTTGTTGTAATGACTTGGTTGAACTGCAGTGTGATTAACTAGTTTGTCAGCGTAATTTTTGGTTGCCGCTTCATTGTCTTGGGTTGGAGCCCCAAGATTCTTTATTTTATTACCATCAAGGTTGATGTCCGATTTTACAACCCCACTTATTACAATATTAGGTGTGTTGATTTCTATTCTCTTAAGTGGTTTGGTTATTGCTTTGGGTAGATCAGTAAATATCCTGCAAGTAATAGCAGAGTGATTGGAGTTGTTATGAGTTCGTAGTTTTACTCCTGACATATCATAGTTCCAAGACTTGTGAATATTTAATGACCAAGTGCCAGTGCGATTTCCACTTACCCAAAAGACAGAATTGGAATGAGAGTCATCTCTTGGAATAAACCACAAAAAGTCAACGTTTACATTTCGCGAACCAAATTGAAATTCTATTTTGTTAATGTATGTGTTAGCAGTTGGTGTCCACCCTACAAGGGGTTGACCAGGAGATGATGTAGTAAAAACAAAATCATCAAAGTATGATCCTGAGATATATTGAAGATACATGGTTGTTGGTGCAGCTGGTTCTGTTATTGTAAAAACACCACTTGTTCCATCTCCAGAATGATGATCAAACCTTTCTATTTGTTTACGAACCCATCCGCGATTAGCAGCTTCTTGGTCTGTGGTGGGGTCACTAAGATTTATTATTTTATTATTACCAACATTAAGGTTTCCAGTCATAGTTACAGTGCCATCTTTTTCCAAATAATCATTTAAATCTATACCTCCAACATTATCATCCACATACTTTTTGTTTGCGCCATCAGTGTCTGATGTTGGTGGTCTAAGGTTAATTATTTTTTTATTATCTATGTTTAGATTATTAGTCATTGTAGATGAACCATCACGGGCAACATACTTTAAATCTGTAAAAGCTAATGGTGTTGGTTGATTACCTCCATTTGGAGCTGGTAGATTAAATATTCGATTATTAGCCATATTGAGATTACCTTTCATTGGGTAGGAACCATCTCTGTCAAGAAATGTGTTGTCTACGTAATCTTTTGTAGGAGGTTCTTTTCCATCCAGTGGTGTGCTAAGATTTGTAATTCGGTATGTATTCTTCATATTAATGTTTGAATCAACTGTTAGCCTTGTTGTTGTGAGCGATCCACTGGATTTATCATCCACATACTTTTTGGTTGCAGCGTCATCATTAGCTGTTGGTGTGCCAACTTTAATTATTTTATTATTATTCATGCTTAGATTACCAATCATTGTTCGGGAACCATTTCTGTCAAGAAATCTGCTGTCTGAGTATTGTTTTGTGGCTGGCTCATCTGCGTCAACCGGATGTTTGAGGTTAAGAATACGATATTGGTCCTTCATATCGATGTTTGAATCAACTGTTAATCGTGTTGTCGAGGGTGATCCACCAGAATTGTCATCAACATACTTCTTTGTAGCAGCATCAGTATTAGCACTGGGTGCGCCAACATTTGTGAGTCTTTTTTTATTCATATCATTATTTCCATCTGCGGTTAAACTAAATCCAACTCCTGGCGCACCCTGTATTCCTTTAGCAAAAGGATGATCAAAAGATTGTTCGTTAAATATTCCCATTTTATTTAATGATTACATTTCTTTTTAAGGGAGGGGTGTTAGGGGAACCGTAGGTTCCCCTTATAGATTACTAGTAAAGTTTTTAGCAATACGTTTTTTTGGTTTATCGATGTATAAAAATGAAAAGGGTTTTCTTGTTGCTGCTTTATACGCCTCTTTGTCAACTCCTAATTCGGATGATATTCTGTTTGCTTCTCTCGATGATGGAAATTCATACAGACAATAGTGAGAACAATTTAGACGAATATCCTTTGGAGTTTTGTAAAATGATTGACTGAGATAGATCACAGAACAATTTTTATGTCGTCCTTGAATAAAATAATCAATAAGACGCCTCTGGTTTTTTTCACAAACGTAATCATCAAATATCACAAGTTTTTGATTGTCTTCGTAATCCATTTCTGTAACCGGGGTTATTTCATCGTTACTCACATGAAGTATTTCATATCCAATTTTACTACTCAACTCCCTCATTTTTTGAATTAACTTTTGATACTTATCCTGTTCAAGATTACGTGCGTAAGATAAATCTCATCGTAATGCAACAGTGGTTTAATTAACATGTGATACAAAAGATTAGTCTTACCACTTCCACTGTTTCCACAGATTAACATTCGAAACGTATCCGCCGGCATAAAAGGAAATAACTGTTTATATTTTTTATCAATGTCATCGATACTATCATAATTTGGAATTTCCATTTTTTATTTATTAATTAAATAAATTTAATCGGGGTTACCATTAAAAGGGAGGGGTAATAGGGGAACCGTAGGTTCCCTTATATTTATTTAATCAATAGATAAAATGGATATAGAAGAATCCAAAAAATTTGCAAAAAATAAAATCGAAGCCGACGCTTTGGTACGGCAGGTTAGAGATGTTATAAAAACAACAAAATGGCAAAAACAAGATATGCGGGAAGGATTTAAAGAGACATTTAAACCACTTATTAAATCTCAAGATAGCATTAAAAAAAGTATCGACGAACAACAAAACGCAACTATAGCACAACTCAAAGCTAATTAACTTGCTCTTACACAAGGACTTAATCAAAACAGGATGGCTATAACTGAGGGATTTGATAAACTTGACGAAGTAAAAAAATGGGATTTGGCTCAATTACCTGGTTTTGAGGCGATTGAAGAGCCAAAAGAAGACGAAGAAGACGAAGAAGACAAAGAAGTTTTAGCCTCTACATCAGAGGGTAAAATAGCAAAATTTACACCTGAAGACCTCGATAGAAATTTAATAAACAAAGAAGCACAAGATATACTCAAACTTAATGGATACGACAAACTTCCTTCTGAGTATTTTGAAGAGGATGTTTCTACTATTGATAAATTAATCGAGGATGTTAATGAAGATTTAGGAGAGACTAGTAAAGCAATAAAAAATACCGCGTATTTAATACGTGACCCAAACGGTTATTTATTAGCTAAACCAGTAAATAAAAATCCACGTGAAAACACAATAAATTTTATAAAAAAATATAACACATTAAGCATATATGCATCAAATTTAAGTAATCTTAAGTATTTTAAAACAAAATCTGGCTCTGGAATGATTTACTTTAACAACCCACATCAACTTCTAGACAGACTTGAATTACTTGGTGGATCAATTCTAGCTGGGAATAATGGTGTGATAAATGAGTTTTCTCAAATAGCTCATCTTCTAAACCAAATGAAAGTAATTTCAAATAAACAACTAAATAACTTATTAAAAACTTTTTTATAAAAGGGGGGTTCCACTATATAAACAATAGATAAAATGGAAGAACGAGCTATTCACATTTCTTCGATAAACAGAGAAAAAAGAGGAACAAGCAGACCTGGTGATTTTACTATCAAATTTAACCCATCTTTGAAACTTGACCCTGAAAAGAAACATCAACTTGCTCTTGATCGATTGTCCATGACTTATTCTTGGTACAACATTAGAAGTGATTATGGAAACAATAAAATCAAATACACTCATGATGGAACCAACTGGCAAACAATTACTTTTACAGATGGAATGTATTCCTACTCAGATATCAATGATTACATTCATCAATATATGTCTCAAAAGTCTCACCACACAACGGATTCTAAAGGAGAAAAAAAGTATTCAATCAATCTAACTTTTATACTATCCACCTATCGTGTGTTAGTATCACTCGATGGTGATTATCAACTTGATCTTAGAGGAACAGAATTTGGAGACCTAATTGGTTTTGAAAAGAAACTTATTAATAAAACAGAGTATGGATCAAAACTACCAAATATCACAAATTCGATTGATGTGTTAAATATCAACACAACCGCAATAACTGATAGCATAGTAAATGGAATAAATACAAATACCATAGCTGTGATACCAACCGATAATCTTACAAGGTCTTATCCATTTACTTTCGAACCTAAAAGACCATTGTATTGTCCTGTCTCTTCATTTCACATTGATGAAATGAGAATCTATGTGACAGATTCACTTGGAAGACCTGTAAATTTCAACGGTATAGATTGGTTTATGACTTTGATACTTCACTCAATGTAATGGGGGCCTCCCAAAACCCCCCTGCTGCTACGCGCGACTCGTTAATTATCATTTTGTATAACTATTAAAATAAAATGATGCGACAATCAGAGTATAAAAAGAAACTTGACCCTGAATTGGGTAGGTATACAAGACAACATATTTATGGCGAAGGAATAACAGATGTTTTTAAATCGTTTGGATCAAAATTATTTGGAAAAACAATGAAAAAAGCCGCTAAAAAAGGCGTTGAAAAAGCAGTAACAGCAGCCGCAACAAAAACCGGTGAACATGTTGGCAAAAAGGCCGGTGATAAAATAGTGCAAATGTTATCAATGGGGGGAGTGCCTCCCCCCAAAACCCCCCTGCTAAAAAAATATCTCAACAAGAGATAGATCAAATGTTGAATAACCTTCTTAGTGGGGGTTCAACACGTAAGAGAAAATTATATAATTATTAAAATAAAATGAAGTCTTTTAGAAATCCAAAATATTTAGACAGATATGAGGATGTTGTTTATGACCTGGAACAGACTTTAGATGCGGCTCCAGCAAATAACGCTCACCAAACTAAAACAGGTCTTAGATTTGTAGCTGATAATACAGGAGAATCCACTCCTTTTGATTGGTATAACGCACGATTATCAATGGATTTTAAAGTAAATAAGCTGGCAGATGGAGGAAATATAGCAGTTGCTGACCATAATGGAATTGTAAATGGTAGTAACTCCTTTATAGAAAAATTAAGTATCCTAGCAAATGGTCGAGAAGTTTATAGTTGTAATTATGCGAATCATGTTGTAAATATCAAGAATTTACTTGAGTATAATCCTTCATATGCCCAGAGTGTTGCTACAAACGAATTTTATTTTCTTGATACTTCAAGAGCCGCAGAGGAAAGACAGGCTCAAGGAACTTATAATAAAGGTTTTCATAGTAGGAAATTACTATTAGGTGCATCAGCCACAGTAAACTGTGAAATTCCTCTTAATAGATATTCTTTCTTTGAAGCATTGGAAGATAAACTACTTCCTAATACAAAAATCGAACTAAATATCGAAATTGAAAAAGATGCGAATTTAATTTTTAAAGCCGCTGATGATTGTAGAGTTATTATAACAAGACTACAACTTTTTATTCCAAAACTTACGTTTAATTCAGAAGGACAAAAGTTGTACATGGAAAATTACCTTAAACCTTACAAATGGACATATTTGAATGAAGTAGTTGAAAGATCAAATAATACACAGCAACAGACAGGTCATTTTAGAATTACAAATGCTATTTCAAAGCCAAGGCATGTATTTGTTTTTGGAATTGATACAGCAAGAATTGATTCACAAACAGCAAATCCATTTTTATACGACACTTTTGATCTGCCAAATAATGCTAATATATCAAGATGTTACCTGGAAGTTGCAAATGGAAACGAATACCCAGATATTCACTTTAAACCTTCTACAGATATGACAAGAGTTTTTAGAAATGTAATGTCGTACGTCTATGCAAATAATGATTATCAAGGTGGAACATTACTTAATAGAACTAATTTCAAAACTTTATTTCCTTTTATTTATTTTGACCTAACAAAACAAAAAATGGATATCAAAGATGGAATTACAAAACTAGCATTTCATTACGAATTAACTGCTAATCCAAACGCTGATTATAATATTTACGCATTAGTCTTACATGAAAGAATAGCAGAAATATCACAACAAGATGGAAAACTATTGCTTCGTGCTTAATCTCAGACATACCTGCGTTCTTCCAACTGTCTCAAAGTATAAGGCTTAATCAAGATTTTATACGATCTGTTATGATTACACAACATTTTCTACAACATTTTCTACAAGTTGTTATGATTACACAACATTTTCTACAAGTTGTGTAAAATGTTGTGTAATCATTTGATTGGTTGAAAAAAATCACATGATAATCTCGTGATATAAAACAATAACCTTCTAGAAGGTTCTAATGACAATGCAATTTTCTATACTTAGATTCGAAGATAAAATCTAATTATAATACACCTAGAACATTCAAACTAATTAATAATGTTAACCGCCAACTGAGTGAAAATACAATAAACCCAAAACAAATAAGAAAAGATTAATTGACGAGATTGAATTTAATATAAACATCAAATAAAATGACTACTTATATAGAATACGGAGTAACACTTACAGATGGACAGAAGTCAAAACTAGCTTCTGCGATAATAAATCAATCACCACTAACTCTTCGATTAAAACATTCTCATCTTCGAGGTTCTGATGAGTTAATGTTGACAAAAAGACAAATTGATAAAATAAAAAAATCACTGGCAAATGGCACAGGATCAGATATAAAGATAAGTAAAACTCAAATTAGAAAATCTGTGAAACACGGAGGAAACTTATTTTCATCACTAGCATCTCTTGGAGCAAAAGTTCTTCCTTTCGCAATAAAAGGAATTTCAAAAGCTGTTCCCGCATTAGCAACCGGTGCTGCAACTGCAATTGGAGAACTTGGAATAAATAAAATATTTGGAAGGAGGGGAGTGCCTCCCCCCCAAACCCCCCTTCTAAAAAATGGAATCACAATTCCCCCAGAGTTTTTCCCAATGCTACCACCTATTGTAAGAGAATTTACCAAATCACAAATAAATCAAATTAACAAAGCTTATCAAACAGGCGGTCAATTAGTTATAAAACCAACTCGTAAACAGATAGAAGGAGGATTTTTAGGTACACTTGCTTCTATTGGTATTCCAATAGCAATTAGTTTGGTATCTAAGATGCTTGGAGGAGGACTGCCCGCAGGGGCGGGTCTTCAGGTTGATAGACGTGGTTCATCTAATACAGCAAATGCTTACGTGCCACATCCTCCTCCACCCACACATGGAGAGGGTTATCCGTATCGCTCTCCACCTTTTATTGGTACATGGGAAAACCCTATAGGAATGGGGATTAAAAAAAAAAAAGCCGGCAGGCCGTCCAAAGGCAAGGGTTTACTATTAGGAAAAAACAGCCCATTCAACTCAATTCCCATTCTAGGAACAATTCTATAGTGGGGGCCCTTAACCATTCTCAGCTCCATTTTGTAATTAAACCTCTATCCAACTTTGACCTCATCAAATGGGTAAAAAGACTTGGTATTAAAAATTTCAGAGGAATATATAGTCGTGATGGATTACCAAAAAAAATTAGAAAAGAATGTGGAATAATCAATCTCGATGATATAACAGGGCCTGGAACACACTGGGTTTGTTATAGAAATCTGCATTCAGTAGTTGAGTACTTCGATCCGTTTGGACTGATAATGCCAAACGAAGTATTAGACTATTTTCACACGGGACCTGTAAAACCTATTGTGTACTCAATGGATGAAATACAAAATCGCAGTACTGTTCTCTGTGGTTATTGGTGTTTATATTATTTATTCGAGCGACAAAAAGGTAAAGGTATTCTAGATGTAATACATAACCCTCATTTTGATAATGATAACAGCGATTTTATAAAGTCATACTTTGGAGGATAAAAATAATATTTAATAAATATTATTTTTTTTAATCTTCATCTGGGGCATTTTTTAGTGATTTAACCCTATCAACTTTTGTATTTAGATCTTTAACACTATCAACTATGTCAACAAAATTTAAGTAAATATCAATAAGACGATAAAGTTTCTTCTTTTTATCACTATTTAGCTGCAACCAAGAATATTCCTCGTTTCTTATTTTTTCCACATCAGACTTTCACCAACCATTAGCACTCTAGAAAGATCTTCGTTTTTCTTTCTAAGAGACTCCAACTCATTATATATTTTTGTCCTTACTTCTTTCTCGAAATCCTTAATTGTTTTAACATCCATCTTTTTCTCTATCTCAGAAAAGAATTTGGCTTCCATTTATTATAAGATTAGATAGTTTCCTTTTACAACTGGGGGGATTGCATCCCCCCAAAACCCCCCTGCTTAATACAAAAATTATTTAATCATATTTTTATCTAAACATTATATTAAATGAAAGAATCATATTGCATTGTAGATAAAAGAGTAACTCCTTGCACAGAGCCAAGTGGTTACCAAACTGATAAAAGAGGAAGAACTCAATTCTTTTGTAGATGCGCAGTTTGTGGAAATAAAAAAGTTAGATATGTTAAAACGGGAAAAAATCAAAAAAACTAATAAGCCCGTCTGAAGGGGCGGGCGTCTTTGATACTGTTGTTGGTACGGCAGTTGATGGATTTGTTCATTACGGTTTACCTTGGATGGGTAAAAAAGCAGTTGAAATGGGGAGGTATTATGGGTCAGAAGCGCTCAGAAACCCTAATTTACAGAAAAAAGCAATAAATTATGCTTTGGACAAATTAAATCCAATGTTACAAAACGTAGGTTCTCAAGCTCTTGACCAATTATCAACCAAAATACGACCAAAGAAAAACTACAAAACAAACAGAAAAGATCTTGATGGAGGAGCTATAGATATCCATAAACAGATTGGTAAATTACCAAAACCAAAAGGAGGATGGACCTTGCCAGGACATAAATATACCGGTCCTTATAATGATCTTGAAAACCAAGTAAGATATGACCCGAAAACCGGAGAAATATTAGAAATTTACGATCAACCAACTGGACCAATTGATACCGTAGCCATGCAACATGACGTAGATTATAGTGTTTGTGGTGATGACCGAAAGTGTAAAAATAAAGCCGATAAAAAGATGGTAAAATCGTTGGATGCTATTCCTTGGAAAGAAAGACAATGGGGGCATACTTTAGCTAGAACAATAATTAATACCAAACAAAAACTTGGAATGGGGACAAAAAACGTAAAGCGGCGTTGAGTAGTGATTGGTCTCAACAATTAGCCGACGAACTTCACAAACCAATCACACGAAACTTTCAAAAGAGATCAGTAGTCTCAAACGGAATTGATGATATCTGGGCTGCTGATTTAGTTGAAATGCAAAAGTTTAGTAAGTGGAATAAAGGAATTAAATATCTTCTGATGGTTATTGATGTGTTTAGCAAGTATGGATGGATAAGAGGTTTGAAAGATAAAAAAACCGAAACTGTAAGTAAAGCATTCGGGGATGTATTCAAAAGTAAACGTAAACCTAAAATGTTATGGACTGATAAAGGTTCCGAATTTATAAGCAAACATTTCAAAGATTTTCTGAAAAGTAAAGGAATTAAACTATATCACACTGAAAACGAGGAGAAATCTAGTGTTGTTGAGAGATGGAATAAAACAATGAAAAACAGAATGTGGAAGATGTTTACAGTTAATAACAACACTGTTTACTGGGATAAGATAGATAAACTAGTTGATGATTACAATAACGCTAGACATTCTAGTATAAAAATGACTCCTGTTGAAGCAAGTAAAAAGAAAAATGAAAGTAAAGTTTGGTCTAATTTGTATGGCGAATCTATTTACTTGAAACCTGGTAAATCAAAGTTTGCAATTGGTGATAAAGTTAGAATTTCTAAGTATAAGAGGAAGATATTTGATAAAGGCTACACACCAAACTGGACAGAAGAAATATTCGTTATTGATAAAGTTTTACCTACAAAACCTGTTACGTATAAAATTGTTGATCTGATGGGAGAAGAAATTAAGGGTTCTTTCTACAACCAAGAATTACAAAAAACAAAACAGCAGACGTTTAGAATAGAAAAAGTTTTAAGACGAGATAATAAGAAAAAAATGGCATTAGTAAAATGGAGCGGATATCCTGATAAATTTAACTCATGGGTTAGTTTTAAGGATTTGGTTGATTTTTAATACGAAATTCGTATTAAAAAAATAGTTATTTACTCGTTTTCTTCATCAGAGATAACTAAGTCTTCAACTACTTGATCAGTTAACTCTTCATTATCGCTTTGCTCTTCATCTTCCTCTTCAATTGTTAGTAAAGACTCTTGGTTTGAGTGGTTTAACATAGCACTCATGAACTTTTATTTGTAAAGATGTCACAGTTTTACTTATAAAGATTCCTTCAATTATCAGAGCCAATTTAACATTACAATACTGATCATTATATTTGAAAGGATTTAAATCCTTACCCCCCTTTCCCTTAAACAAAGATAAAATTTTCTTTGATTTTTCTGAGTAAATAAGTTTCGCATAAAAAACCGGTGCAGATGAGGGGTCATTTCTCGTTTTCTTCTTTCCTTTTTTATCAGTGTATTCTTCCTGTTTGTAATATAAAGGTACATTAAGAGTCGAAGCTAAATCTGGTCCGTATTCATTCTCTAAATATTGTTGAGACAAATTTGTTACGTTATTAATAACTTCCAAAAATGCTTTTTCTTTGTTATTTGGTTCGCTATCTTTAGCCCAAAGACATACTGGGATACTATAACCAACTAACTTATTTGTTTCTTGATTTTTCTTTTCACTAACACCAAAACTAAAAAGAAATGGTGTTTCGATTACAAGTGGTCCTTTCTTTCCATTCGGGTATTTGATTTCAATTGGGATACGCTTGTATTTGATTTTGCTATCTTTGACTTTGAATTCTTTGGCTTCTTTAAAGATAATATTGTCTTGGGTAAGATTTTCGTAGCTGGACAACTGCATTTTGATTTTAAAAATTTAATCTTTAAATAGTTTTTGAAATTCAAATCTGTATCTATCCCCGTCTTTTTTGGAAATAACTGTTTTGTGGTGCTTCACTTTTCTACAAATATTAGAAATAATCGAAAAGGAAATATCTAATTCTTGAGAAGCAGAAGTAATACTTTCATATTTTTTTTGTTTTTGATATTAATTGATATAATAGGTTTGTTATTTCCTTTTCTAATATTTTCAGCTAAAGTTAATAATTGCAAATTTTTTATATCATTATTTGTTCTAACAGAATCAATATGATCAATAACTAAACCTTCTGTTATTATACCCTTTTGGCATTCCCATACAAACCTGTGAATATAGTAATTCTTTGGTTTGGTTAGACTTTTATCACTAATCTTCAACTGGTGGTAGCCCTGAGTGGATAAATTTTTTTTAATAACCTTCTTGTTTTAACATTAATAATTTCTCCGTCTTTGGAAGAGGCATAATTATTAAAAAAAGGATGTATATAAAATTTCTTTCCACTAATTAAAATTTTTTTGATGTGCATTTTTAAATAATTTTATATTTTCTTAAAACTATTTTTAATTCCAAAGAAGTTTCGTTGACCAATAATTAGCTGATTCGGGATTATTATGAGTTAATTCTCCTTTTTTATTCTTAATCTTTGTAGCTCTGGCAAGATACTTATCTCTTCTATCTTTGTCTTTGTGAGTAAAATAATCTTCGTATTTTGGTGATCCAAAATGAAATTTTTTTCCACTTGAAAGAGTAACCATATATTTATTATTTTTTCGTGAAGAATAATCAAGCGTCTCAGCACCGAGTTTTTTAGCATTTCTTACTAGTTTTTTAAACTTTTTTCCACTAACAAGATACTCATAATTTGGGACGTAATCTGGATCCTCATCATGATTATAACCATCATCAACAATAAAATCCAAATCCTCTTTTGTTGGAGTAGTGTCTCTTGATCTTGGTTCCATTTTTATTTATTGGTTATAGTAAAATCTTGTAACAATCTTTGTTATAAGATTTAAATTTTAATCACTGTCGCTGTCACTAAAAGTATAATTAAACTCTGTTTCTTTTAATTGTATTTCATCCATAAACTTTTTAAAAGTTTCAAAAAATAACCTGAAACCTGTCCCGTCATTTTCATACCTTTCATCATCAAAATTATAACTAACTTCATCAAAAAAATAATCCAATCTTTCTATTAATTTTTTTTCTAAGTATATTAAATGTTTAATATCTTCTTCATCGATAAAAAAAATCTCTGTTGTCTTTAAAATGGCCAAATTCTTTTAAAAGTATATATTTATTAAAACTAATAATAATCTTTTTTGCCAAATAGCTTAAAAAAACATCTTCTGTGTGTATTATTTCTAATAATTTTTTACATTTTGTGTCGATATCTATCATAAAAATATATTCCTTCTTAAATTCTTTAGAATAGCTTGGAATAACCTTTCTTAACATTTTTCTTAATATATTATTTTCTTTAAATCATTTTTATTTTCTGAATCACTTTTTTTTAACAGCTTTAACCAGAAGAAGGGTCGAACACAGTGTTTAGTTAAGTAATGACTTAAAAGATCAGTAAAAAAAATCAATGACAGAAAATAATCAGAAAAAAGTCAATGACGTAAGACAGTAATTAACTGAATAATGACAGGGATAAACATAAAAAATAATGATTTTTAGTACCAAAAATCAAGCCGATTAAAGCCGTCATTTAATTTTTGGGGGGAATGACGGAAATAATTGAAAAATGACAGGGAAAAAGTACCAAGTGAGTGAGTGGCATGGAATCATTATATAACTACTAAAGCTATCAAGTAGGGCAAGGATCGCTTGAGCCTTTATAATTCTCGTACGCATCCAGCAAGGTGTAAAACAAAAACGATGCCATCCGAAATCGGATTATCGGCTTTGACAAGCGACGCATTTTTCAACCAAAAACCCAATAAACAAAGCAGCCATGAATAAGAGAACACTCTTGATAGCAGCTGTATTTCATTTTGTACATCCAGTGGAAAAAAACAGTTAAAAACATCACAAGTTGACTCAAAACGCTGTCAGCTTCAGCTGTCAAAGTAAACAACTTTGAAGATGCTGCATAAATTTTACGCATGAACTCACCTGTCAAATTTTAACCAATCAGAGCATAAAAATTGGACGTAGAGCGTGACTAACACGTGACCACGGTAAGAAAAGGTCTTCCCCGCCTGTATTTTAAAAAAACTGGCTGAATTTTTGCGTCTGAAGTCACTTTGAAATCAAAATCGTAATAGTGCGGGGCGATACTGACATAAACACAACATATTTGATATGAATTTAAAACAAAGTAAACGTGAGCCTGCGATCATTTGAAAACGATTAAATTGTCAGCGGATAACTTCAAAAAATACTCGACCTCGATGGGTCGACACCTGAGCCCGCGATTCGGTCAGGTGATAGTGGTCAGCGGATACCCTGTTGACAGCTGTCAATTGATGACAACATTGAGGTGCAATCAGCTTTCTCCTGGGCTCCCAAAGTAGCTAGAAAGTGTGAGAGTAAACATTGCTATGCCTGTGGTGCGGACGGACGGACGGTCGCTCGGTCGCTCGGTCGCTCGGTCACGTGATTATCAAATTTTCTGGCATGGGTAGATTTCCTTAGCTATCGGGCTTCGCCCACGCGCGCGCTTCGCGCGGGCGTGGAGCTCCGCTAATACAGGACTGCCGGCCATTTAGTGTTTTGAAAACCTTGACCGGTTACCCGCCATATAAACACAGCGCGAAAGATAACCATATGTCTGCGTTTATTCAGATCTGAGCGTTGTTTCTTGATGCAATATATACGAGGTGAGATCTTAGCTTGGATAGTTTATTTATTATGTAATTTCAAAGGCTCATATTAGATAAACCTCTATTGACCGCATGCATCCGGTTCTCGGCCCGCCTCTCGGCTATTTGTGAAAAATTTCTACGTGAAATTAAAATGCGATTTTAAGAAGTTTCCTTAAAAAAAAAAACTTATGGAATGTCCCCGTAACTGCATTAATTGAACCACGGCTAATGCACCTATCAATGTAAACCCCGTGGGGGGTAGTGCGGGCAAGGGGTGGGGATTTGACAAATTTTAATATTTTTTGATCAAATTCCCCACGGTGGGAAACGAAAGGTCAATGAAAAGTGTCAAAAAAGCCCCCACCCCAGGGGAAAAAATCTAAACAAACAAAACTATAGTACTATATAAAACGAATAAAAGAACATCTGAAAAGTACGTTTTTACTACTTTTATTTAAGGTTAACGTAAGCTCCGTTAAGTTACTCGCTGTTATTAAGTATTTCCTCTCGCAGGAGCCCATCAAATGGAGCCTCCATCTCCATTAATTTCTTGAGTCAACCCTTTCCCGAGTAGATTTATAAATAGAACGGCTTGTTTTCCGCCAAAAGTGTCATATTTCCGTGAGTCTCGTATGTCACCGTGAAAAAAATGAAGTTGGATGAAATCGAACTCAGAAGCCCGTCCTTCGACCGTTTTCCTTTTTTACTATACGTCCATTTTTACAGTTTTACAGCCGCTGGGATCTGGGATGAAATAAAAGTTAATGAATTACCCGACTGAGACTGAGCATGAAGCGATGGGACAAAGGCAGCGAACTGAGGATCACTGAAAGGTTCTTTGCGAGTGTTTGTTTTTGTTTGTTTGTTTGTTTTTTTTTTTTGCCGTCATACATCCCACATTTAAGCATGCACCTTGAAAAGAGTCGACGATTAAGCGTTCTGTGGACGATTTGAAACTTTTCGATGATCAGCGCCGAAAAAGTGCCAGGATCATTTGATTTTTGTTATCGCCGTGGAGTGGATTTCGCCAGTTAAGCACCGCGTGCAAAAGCGATGACCTAAGTAGCAACTAAGGAGGAATGCTTCAGAAAAATTGCAGTCTTCCTTTACAACTGACTTGTATCACCATGAGAGTTGCCTGATAAAACTGGCACTTGAAAAGTTGAACAGAAGACAACAGTTGCTCGACCGTGAAGCTAACTCAAAAGTAATTTGCTAAAGCCGAGGAATTTGTGACATCGCGCTCCAGTCCAAAGACCCTCTTATCTCAAGAAAAACAAAATGGATTGTATCTGTGCCCAAAGAATTATGACTGACTAACGGGAGAATTCTCAGCAATTAATGTAGAAGTTTAGGCCAATTCTTTCCTTCGAATTCGCATCTGTAGATCACTTTTTTGCGAGAAAACAATGGCTGGGCTCGGCGTTACAAAACATAGCAGGGAATCATCACACTAACTGACGGACGAAACAACCACAGTATTTATTCAGACAAACGCATTTCTGAGAAAAACTTGAAAAACTAGAAATTTGATTAATGTTGAGTCATTTAGCCGAAATAAGAACCTTAACGCTAAAAAAAATTGGCTAAAACGAATCCTGTCAGAACTACAGACTGCAGGTAGTAGTTAATCATTACGCCTGTAACATACCAGCTTCATGGCCTCTTATAAATGTGAGACAAGCGACCAAAACTAAGATTAACATAGTCAGAGTTTAAAGCTCTCCACAGTATAATCTACCCGCTAGAAAGAAAAGAAAGAAAATCTCTGAGGGATGAAAACGCTAAAGTCACGTTTCACTAGCTTATGATTTTGTTTGGCCTGTCAGCACCGGATTTCCTGCTGTTTCATGAAGTACAATAGCAGTGTCATTTAGTCGTTGTGATTGGCTCTTCCCACCGTCGGCGCGCAAAGTCTCTCCTGGGAACCGTTCTAATTATAAATCTACTCGGGAAAGGGTTGACTCCAAGGGCTTATATGGGAGATGGAGGCTCCATTTGATGGGCTCCTGCCTCTCGCCATTAGCATCTGTTATTTTGAACAACAAAATCACTCCAGGAAGATTGACCGTGTTATTAAAATATTAATGTAAAATGCTTTATAACATCTGCTCAACATGTCGGAACAGGTCGGATCAGTGACCCGTAAAAAATCCTCTGACTTTCATGGTGGAATTCGATCTCAATCGAGTTTTACAATCAGATGGGAACTTCAAGATAAAAACTTTCTCAAAATAGACATTATCTGTTTAGATGACAGTTCAAAGTATCGGATTATGGCGATTAAAACAAATGAAAACTTCATACCTTTCTCCAACAGCGTGACTTTCAGAAAGCCTCGAGGGACGGACTTGGAACCGCTTCTGAATTGATACCAGGCTTCTGTCGGTCAAAGTCAAATGTCCCGATCCCGGGGTCGCTTCGCACGATCAAAAGCCCGACAGGGGGATAGTCTCAGGCATGAAATCCTCCCCCCCCCCCACGGGATTTACATTGATAGGTGCATAAAATTTACGCGGAGATTTTCGCAGAGAGCTCGCAGGTAATGAACATCGAGTATCGGATTTATCTTCAATGGCACACTGTCACAGTTACGTGTTGTCAGTCAAAGCTAAAATCTATTCCTAATTTTCTTCTCTTTTTTCAATTTCTTTTTTATTTGCTGGGAGATTTAATTTTTCGCTCAGCTTCTAACTTTGTTGAAAGAAGATTCCGGTCCACACAGGGTCCACAATATGTGACATCTTGTTTTTAGTCCTTTGTGAGTTCGTGACACGATGAAGGCTTAAAAATTAACTTTGTGCAATTGTTACTTTTATAGTCTGATTAGTGGTCTGAGTATAAGGGACGGACCATTAGAAAAAAAAGTTATGGGGCGGGGAGGCGGGGGGGGGGGGTGCTGACGAATTTTCAAGCCTTAGGAATTTTTTTCGTTATCAATTTCCATGTATGAATTTTTTGAGGCCGCATGGTAGCATGAATATTTTTTAGGGTTAATTGGCGTGCATGAATTTTTTTTTCATTTAATTTTCTCTTGCTCGAATATTTTTTTTGTGTACTTCGCCCCTCCCCCCCCGTAAGTTTTCTAATGGTCCGTCCCTAAGAATCCCAAAATACATTGCAATATTGCACCTCAATAATAATAAGTA